GGGGGGGGGGGGTTGAGGGGTAAAGAGCTGTGCTGACAAAATGCAGAATGGGATTTCCATCCTGCAAGCCTCAGACTGGAAGATCTTGTTCCACTGTCGTGACCACTTACAGCATGCCAACCAACAGAAAGGCTCCACCACCACTAATGTGACTGCTATTTTTTCTTCGGCCTTGGGGATTGTACTGAAGGGTACGGAGCAGAGGATTTCTCCACACTGCAGGCCCACGAGGACTTCCCCTGAACGAAGGGGCTCACTGGGTGTGTGGACACAAGAAGCCTTCAGTGGGAAGTGGGCTTCCTTTGATGGGACAGGTGACCCTGCCCAAAGGCCCCTCACCAACCTGTGCTGGACACGGTTTCAGAGGGCTGAAAGAGGGCGGCGGAAGAGGATGGTGGGGATGCTGCGGAAGAGCTGGCCGACTCCTTCCCTTCCAGCTCGGCCACAGGCAGCAGCAGGTTCTGGGCCAGGTGGCTGGGGCTGGCGGGGATGCCATTCTCCAGCAGGAACTCGTCCAGGTCCATGTACTCCAGGTGGAAAGACTCGCCATCATATGGGATGGTCTTGTCCCAGATGGGTGGCATGAGGGAGGCTGAAACGGCCATGGTGCTGGCTGCCGCGGCCTCGTCTTCCTCCAGCTTTTCCTTCCCTTTTTCCTTATCTGCAGACACAAAACCTGTGATGAGACCCCACACAGAGGGAGACTCGATCCCATGGGGGGGAGCAGTGAGCCTCACAGGGCTGGCCATCTCCCTGAGTCCGGACATGTCCCACGCACTGCAAGAGCCCAGCACTCTCCGGGAATGGCCTCGTGCTAACCAGGCACACTGGGCTTTAGGCATGGCGGCGTGTCCTCCTCCACGCCGGGGCTCCCCAGACTGCTCGCCACAAGCTCCAAGCCTGATGCGCTCAGTTCAGAATGCGCTGTGAAACTGGCATCTGGAGGGAGGCTACAGGGAGGACATGGAATTCCTGAGCCTTCCTGGTATCTTATCTCTGTGGTAGGAAAGGGTGATTCCTCAGGCCAAGACCTTTCAGGTTCTCCTGTCCTGACCCTTCCAGCTAGGCCTTTCCACAGCAATTCAGCCTAGGGATTGAATCCCAGATCCGCTACCCAGTTGCTCGGATGTGCGACTTTAGCTATGTATTTACCCTCTCCCAGCCTCAGTGTCATCCACTGTAAATACAAATAAAGCTTTCTCTTTGGTGTAGACTAGAGATATTATTTGCAAGTGTCTTATCGAGTTCCTGGCAAATGGAAGGCATTCATTACTACAGTGAGCTGTTGAGGGCAGGGACTGTGTCTGATTCATTTTTAGACCTCATGGCCAACACAGGAGCAGGCTGACCATGGGCCATGGGAAAATATGCATACTGAATGAAGAACACTGGGTTTGCACACAGATTCCCTTTAGGTTTATTAGATACAGAGGGTGTGGAGCTGTCTTTTCAGGACCTTTTTCAGAGCAACAATTTCCAGAGAAGTCTACCCCTGAATAAGCAGAGAAGACTGAGGCAGGTTTTCTGGGAAGGAGAGGGTGGGGTGGAAGGAGGCTTGCTCCTTTTCAAAGCAAAACTAATCCATTAGCAGGGACTGGATCTCACCTAACTGTCTCAGTCAAAAAGTTACCTGTGTGGATATCCAAGAAAGGGCAAATTAGGAAAAAAAGACAAGAGAGAAATGTGACAAGGTTGGAAGGAAATCAAAGTGACAGGGAGGCTAATCAGGGAAGTGGGAGATAAAATCATGACAAGTTCATAATGGGTTTTCAAACTGAGGGAGAGAACTCTGAACTCTGGATTTTGGAGTGAAAAAGAGAAATCGAATATAATCATGTTGGAAATAAACCAGTCATGCTGGGACTCCCAGACCGTAGCTGGCCAAAAAGAAGCTTGTTGGTCCAATAAAAATGGATATACCAGTGGATTAAGGAGGTGAAAGTTTTGACAAACAGAATTTGGTAATGACTTCTAATATGAATTAACCTTAATTCTTGAAACTGCCTTCTGTACCAGGCTTTGGTTGAAAACCAAATGGGAAGTAAGAAAGCCAAGCTTTGGTGGGCTAAGTGGGCCAGATGGACTTGCTGTTCTCCTCCCTGAGATCCTGACTCTACATTGTGTTCAGATCCATATTGGGTGGGGTCATGAGGACCAAAGGAGACAGGAAAAGGAAGGAGATAGAAAAACAGCCGCACTGAAGGACAAGTATCAGTAAGTTCCAGGTTTTGCCTGGCCTAAGCAATTGAGGAAATTTTTAATCAATGTTTTCATAAGATGGAGTTTTAATTGTGTAAGAGATGATAAAGAACTAGGTAAAGAAGTTGACATTAGTGGTTGCCAATGATACAATAAAAAGCACCAGACTGACAGTTATAAGGCCTAGCTATGTGACCTTGAAGAAGCATCCTCACTTCTCCGAGCCTCAACTTTCCTTATCTGGGAAGTGGGGATAATATTCTATATAAATAAAACAAGATTCTGTCAAAAGTGCTTTGTGAGCATTCTGCTAATGTAAAGTAAAATTGTTATGGATGGCTCTTATTTGGGAATTTTGAACAAGAACCTGACAGATGTGTATGCCTGTCCTGGCAGCTTGTCTCAGCCCTAGAATTGGAACAAAGCATTGCCTTAAAAACAAACAAAAGGGTCTGTGCACATGAAGTCCCGAAAGCAGGACAGAATGCCTGGTCTCACCTGATATGCTGAAGCTATTTATAACCCAATGGAGACAAGCCATAGGAATGGAAGCCACGGTACACATCGGGAAAAGAAAGAGATGGCATTTAGAAATTTCTTTTTTAATTCAAGACAGGTAATTCACAGAAGGCCTATTCCTTCCCAAATCCCTAAACTACACTGATGGTTCTTAGAAATTCAAAGGTCTCAGATTGAAAGCATACCTCTGTGCACTGAAACCACAATAGGTGGCACTTTGCTGTTCCCTGAACCTCATGTTCTCAGGCCAAAAAAACAAGGCCAAACCTGCTTTCCACATAGGCCCTAGGGACCTCTGTGGCCTAGGTAACAAGATAAAGCCCAGCTCTGCCACTGTGGCCCCAAAGTCTAGGGTCAATCCCCCAAAGCCAGGTGAAGGGCCTCGGTGGCCTTATTCTGATCATCCCTCTACCCGCCTGGCCCCACTCTCCACCTCAGAAGGTGCCTCGCATCCCTTCCCGACACCCCTCCCTCACTTCAGCAGCAACCCTGAGACACTTCCAGAAAACCTTCAGTGTGTACCTAGTAGTGGGGATGAAGGCAGGTCCTTCTCCCAAGAGGGGCAAGGCCAGAGGCAAGGACAATCTGCCATGCAAATCAGCGCTTCTCAAACTTTAGTGGACTTCGGAATCACGGAGGTGGGGTCCTCCTTAACACGCAGACTCCTGTCCCAGGAGCTGCAGATTCGGTGGGTGAAGGGTGGGGCCCAGGGACGGGCATTCCAAACAAGCATCCCAAGTGATTCTGACGAAGCTGTCCCCGGAGAAGGCGCCCTGGAGCGTCATCTAAGCGGCTGCTGCGACCCTCTTCAGCCTGCTCAGTAACCCCTACACGTCGTCGCGCTCAGGCGGCCCCAAGGAACCGCCTCCCCGCGACCCCACCCATCCTCTCCCTCCGGACCCCTTTCTGCCAACGCCCACCTGACCCAACCTCTCTCGGCTCGCCCCGACCTTCTCCCAACCTTCCGGCCTCGCCCACCAGGCCCTCCGTCATTCCGGGCTCCAGCTCCCCGCCACCCCCCTCGGCCGGACCACTTCACGTGACCT